GGAATGAAAACGTGGTTAATGATTGTTGACATAAGAATACTTACATCCAAGCCGACTAACCTCGCTACAATTTTCTGGCAAAACATCACGGCTGTCCTCAAAATTATTCGTGTCAAACCGGCAAAAGAGAAGTCTATCGAAACATGTGTTGTGGTTAGTGAGCAACCTGGACAACATTAAAAATTGTATACATGTTTGATAAAGAAATAGACGTGCTTACCTACGGCGCGACATGTACTCAGCAGCAGCGAAAACAAACATAGTTGGAAAGAAAAACAAACACAGTTCATGACGATGGGGTAGCGGTGCCTCAGCACTAGGGAACCCTCCTCTTTTTATGTGTTCTCCAGCGAAATCTGGCGTGCATTGTCTATGGTCTCACGTAAAGCCTGCAGTACTCGTGACTGCTGGCTTGGCTTTCTGCTCGCCTACTCCACTAGGCATGCGTGGAATCTGAAAATTTCACGCTCGGCCTGGTGCAAAAACACCTGCATTTCGTTTGAAAACCAGAGGTCTCGCACACAAAAGGTCAGCACAGGCGTTGTCTGATGAGTCGGCGGTGTGACGGGCTCGCCTGCTTCTGGGGCTTCCCTCTCGTTCCGACTGGTGGTGGGGGATGGGCGAATCCCCCGCCGAGGACCCGCGGCACTGCGCACCATTTTGTAATTACCAACGCCCCCTGGCAATCTCAGGCTGCCGGTGTCGGGGCGTGAAGAGGTGGTTAACTGCTGAATGCGGCAGATGAGCTGATAACCATCCCACCTGACACCATCTACAAACAATTTGAGTTACGCTTCAAGGTGCATTAGGAAAGGGCGTGAAGACAAAAGTGAAGGAACCAAAAGTGTGGTCGTCTATAGTTGCCACAAGGAAATCTCATACACCTGTAGCCTCTCTGCAACCACTTCCTTGTGCCACTAAACCGCTACCAGATATCGTAAAAACCGTAAAGGTACTTTGAACTAACGAGTTAAGTATGAGAGTTGTTTTCTTTTACTGTTTATACTGATGATAAAGCTAGAGCTATATGTTTTCCTTCAGTATGTTTGTATGATCATATGGTCGGTAGATTCACTGCTTATTTTACTAGGGAAAGTTGATACTTTCCATTTCATTTAATTTCAATTGATATATTTTCATTTAGCTCTACACAGGGTCTAAAACGTGTAGATATACATTTCCCCAAACACAATAAACATCAATCAAGAAGCACATTGAACAAGGACTGCCAAGTTGTTGTGATTCGACACAACTGGAGCTTACTTTTGGCAAAGGCTATTCTTGGCATAACAAATTGAGAAAGTCTTCGGCATGTTGACGATTCGGGAGCTAAATCCCTCTGCTTATCCCTATTTTTCAGTTAAAAACAAAGTATGTCAATTGTTTGACATCTACTGCACACTTCTACCATACGCACTCCTTTTACCTAGAACCCCATCCCTCCATTTGGACACGCCATAGCCACTGTGCCCCATGTCTGCTACAAACACTGATACCGATAGACGTCAGGTGGTCGTTAACAACTCTAAAAACAATACAAACACTTCATGAGTGATACATCGAAATTTCCCCTAAGAGGTTTGAGTCTTGTAAAAGAAATAATAACAGTTGTACAGTTGTAAAAGAAAGTAGGTCACACATCATGGGTCAGTTGAGACTACGTTAAAGGTGCTTTTATCTTTATCAGTTCTGATGTTTGTTATGATCAGTTTATATATGATGATAACCCTAATAATATTCTTGTCTTAGAAAGATAGTGACTTTCTCTACCTTCAATAGATGTACTAAAGGCCTAGGGTAAATGAACTGAACAGTCTATTACCAATGTTTTGGTGAGCTTTCAAAAAGCTTGAAAATCAACTCAAAGTTGAGTATCATTAATAGTTTGTCAACTATTTCAACCCTGCTACCATCTTTATATTATCAAAGTTTCTGGAAGCTTCCTGTCCTCATCAGCTAGTTAAGTAGCTCCACAAGTTCTCTCCTGTCCTTTTGCTCCGCACAATCTGGAGAAGGCAGAACTCTAGATCTCTCTTTACGATGAGCTGCCAGCGTGCTTGACAAGTTTTGGCGCTATCGTCACGGATTCCGTCCTCTCATCCTGTCCCATTATCTTCAAATGTAGATCCTTTCAGATTTTTTATCCTTTTAAACGGGGTTCACAGGCTGTCAAACAGGTGATTCCAACTAATGGGCTCGTTGGCGGAGCATTTTGATGATTAGGCTTCAAAACACAGATTGTCTTGATAACGAAGTTCAACTTGTACATTTGTGAATCATTAAGGGCTTCAGCAGACCGGCACTGGTCATTCCCACAGAGGGGCTTTGATGTTTTGTATCTCTGTGTCGGATAACATTCAACAGCCGTCTTACCCGCGGTGACAACAAGCTGCTATCGGTTAAAATTATTGTAATAAAGTCAGTTGTAATGATCTTGTAGGGGACAGCCATTCGTCCTCTGGAGATGATGAAAGCGAAGTTAAAAGTGTCCCGTGTTGTCCACTTTTCTCTGGAACACTGAGAGGGTAAATGCAAGTGTGCCCTTTATCTGTCAACTAAAAAACGGAACCTCACGTGCTTTGATTAATATGTTTTTAATATAGGATGTTATGCAGTGACCCCTGTAGTCCATGGTAGTCCATCCTTCAAACATGGTGATCAAAGACCAAACCAATACAATCAATGTCTATGCTTCAAGCACAGATACAGTATAATATTCGCGCACAGTTGTGCGATGAGAGATCATGTCTTGGATTGTCGCAATGACCTACAAAAATGATCTCATCCATTTCTATTGAACTGTCTTGTAAAAGTACGTGTTTTTAGACCTTCAAATCAACATCGAGGTCATAGCTGTAAGTGACACACACAGCTAATATTCGCGAATATTGCAATTGGACACAGTCTTGTGATAAACGAAAGTGCCTCGGGCTGATAGAAAGTCCATGGCTCATCAAATGACTGTTCGATTCTATAACTATATCATGCTACACGTGAACAAGAGTGAAACGGAATTACAACATACATACGAGAGGCAGCATTTGCACTCGTTGCGTATTCTTTATTCTCAAAACTAGTGCGTCTGTACACTAGTATTCCTACCAGTGTTGTTATCATATGTCTGTAACATAAACACCTTTCATGGCGGTGTATTTTCTTGTCAAGCAAAGTCGTGATGGGCGGCAGTCCTGACAATACGACCATGTACATGTTTCTTACCTATTTCATGGATATGGAGGAGGAACTGCAATTGGACACTTCTTTAACGCGGAGAGAGAAGGAGTAAAGGAAATTGACCCTCGACAGCGGTACACTGATCACTAAAGTTTACAGCAGGTGATGACGAAGTCCTGAGGTTGAAGCCGTTTGTTGTTGAGAGGAAATTCGCTGTTCGCACCAGAAGCAGGGCTATCCGGTACAGATGTCGGGCGTGGGGTCTACTGCTTCCTCTGACTCTGTACCTATTACTACACAAACCGTGGAAAGTGTGCGGATGTGGACATGGTTTGTTTTCTCAGCGGTAGGAGGCAGTGTTTCGGGACAAGCCAAAAAGGTTTCCCATATCCGTTTGTTAATTAAAGACAAATTAAGACACGTAACCTCGCACGCTACATTTGGCCTTCTTGTTATAATTGTACAGCAATGTAAGTGGTCACCGTGGACTCATGATGTGTCAAAACTGTGACATATTTAATATTATTGCTAAGGAATATGTATGATCCCAACAAAAACGGTCACTATAGGATGATTCAATCAGTTCTTAAGTTCATATTGCCTCAAACCTTCTTGCTTTCTACTTTCCCATGTGTGACAGATATATCCGTTTTAATACGACATTAGTACTTTCCTGTGTGGCTATTCGGACCGCTCTGCTGTACTCCGGTAACGTTCTGGGTCATGTTACAGGGGAAGTCTTTCCCACGCACCTTTCTTTACGTGACGCGGTATTAAAAGACCGTCACAGACGAGTCGGTCGACGCGAGGTAGATTTATGCACCAAGGGCAAGTGATTCATCTGTGCACGCATTCCTGCGGATGGAAGCCAGCCCTTCGCTGTTGCCTCGTTCTCCACTTGCACTCCAGATGATGCCAGCATTGCCAGGCCCTCTTGTCTCCATCAGAGATGCTATCCTAGCTTGTCGGCTCTCTGTACAAGATATGTGGCCATCCCACGTTTAAAACACTATTTAAGAATGATTTGCAAGTTTTCGAGCAAGAGTGCCTCGAAGTGCTAACAATTCTTCAATCGCAGTGAATGAGAATAAACTGTCCATCAGCTGAGTTCTAGTCACCCTGCCGTGCGGCTATTTTCAAGACCAGCCCGTCTGTACATTACCCAGTCGCGGCCCGATGACTGCCCACAACTTACGGTATGTAAACAAGCCAGCTTCTAGCCGCGGAACTGTTTATTTAAAGTTACAAGATACGCACATTGCGACACCCCGCTGATGACAGAAGCAATAAACAGCCGGATCATAATTGATCAGAGTCAATAAACGAAGTGCCAAACTCCCAAACAAATATGCGACAGCGGTCCCTAATGAAATTAAAAGCTGCTCAAAGCAGTCAATTGGACAATTTACCAGTCAATTGGGATTATCTGGGCCCCACTTCCCGCGGAGATGGAGGGAGGAGATAAGCTAATGGAAGAAATCGTCACCTCTCGGGAAGGGCTGAGGGCAACTGTAATCAGCAAGTCAAGTGTCTTGGTGACACGCCACAGCGGGACAGCTGGTGCTCAACAACCTGAGAACGGCAACAGCGCCGCGCTAATGGCGGCCTGACGTCATGGAAACTTTCCTCTGGACAGAGTCGTGCAATGAAAGGCTCTATCAAGGGAGGATTGAAAAGTGGAGAGTAGAACGGTCAACAGTGGGGGTGAAATACATTTCACCACCTGCTCAGACGTCAGGAAATGGCCGTGAGTATGGCCCGCACTTTTCTATGCTTCTTACGTCTGACAGGGGCGTGACATAGCGACAGAGCGGTGTGTCTACATCCTACATCAGAGAGCATCTCTTTGGAGCCTCACAAATTGCAGGTGGATGATGTATCTATTTATCATCATGATGGCATTATCTATCGCACCAGGAGAGTACTACTCAGAACCTGTTTTTCTTCAGTTTTCACCAAACGTTTAGACTACAGTATCTAACTTCTAACTCTGTAATAGTCGAGACAACCATAGTGGAAACAAATTGATAAGATAACTATCTCGACAAATCGTTGCGTGTCAAAAATGATGGGACTCATGGCTAACTCTGGCACCCTGTTGAAAATCTAATAGGAGTATTTTCTTCTTGAAGCACAGAGCTAGGTCAAGGTATGTCCGCATACTAAAGTGCCGTAATACCTTTGGTGCTTGGAGACTCATTAACATTGATATCTCATTACAAACTATGATTTTAACCATCTTTTCCGCGTAGAATTCTGAGCTCCATCCTCCTCGGTAATCTGCAGCATGTGAAAGGTCATTGACGTGAGAACGGCGAACGGAAGCCCAGTATTAACCCACCTGCTGTTGCCCTGGACGACAACATCTCTTCACACTAATTATTCTGAATGAAGTCAATATGTCGGGACTTCAAAGGTACAGAAACTGTTCCTCCGAAAGTAGACACATACAGGGGACGGACAGACGTTTGTAAACAATACCCCAGTTGGCTTGAGCTTGTGTCAAAATTCCGTCAGACAAACGATGTGAGCGACCGGGTCGTCAACTGAAGGCATTTTCCCGGTAACACAATTCCCTGCAGCTCACAAACAAGTCATACGGAAAAGCCAGAAATCCTTCTGTTGTTAACTAGGCCCATGCTTGGGTGTGCACGGGGATTACCGAAACTGACAAGTCGGCTTATTTGGGCGAAAATTAGATTTAGGCGGCCACAAAATATCAAAGGCAGCAAACATTTTACCCGAGGCAACACGACCTTGTCGACTGCGCACCTGACGCTTTTGTATCCTGTCAGAAATAATTAGAAAAGGGAGTCGTGCACTGGATAGGCAATGTACCCGCTAAACATTAGTATCGATGAGTGTTTGTTGAATAAGCTTTACGAGAGGGAAAACGTTTCGCTTGACCTTCATCTGTCACTGTGTGTAGAAGCACATTTTCCTGGTAAAACGGATCATTTCTGTTTGTATACCACAATCTGAACGTATCACATCTCCCACACGCCCTAATCCTCGGAAAGGAATCACAGAAGCCGCCCTCTCGGCGTCTTTCTCTGTTATTGTTTCCAATGTTGAATGTTTCGCAATGCATCCCCACACGTGCCCAAGGCAAACACATGCCGACACCGTTGTCCTCTGAGCTGTAACCGCAAACAAGCGCAACCGGGCAGACCGGAGTGCACGGCTTAGTGTTACACCTGCGGGGCGGAGTGCAGCCAAACAGGTATGCGACTGGTCAGCCGGAAACAAAACGCAAAACACTGATACGGGCGATTGGGACAGCTGTTTTAATCCTGACATACCCAAAATAGCTACTTCTAATGTGTTTCTGTTTATACATCAGCACAAGAGATGTTAGTATTGTGACTGAAACATATCGATGCTAGTATGTAAAGAAATTCCCACCTTTTGCTTTCAGGAGGATGACGGACGCCTTGCACAGGCCGGATCCGGAACGGAACGTCCCCGACGGCACGCGGTTGAATCCGGCATAGATGTAATAGTCCACCTCCCCGTACATGGGTCTCTGTCCGCTCAGGGTGTAGAGGAACTGGCTGTTGATGTAACCTTTCTTCTTGGAGCCGATCCGGTTCCACTCCAGCCGCTCATCGCTGATCTCCAGACTCAGTCGGGAGTTTCTGTCTATGATGTCGTCTTCAATACGAATCAACAAGTCTCCATCAATAGTGGCGTCCATGTAGCCCGGCAGGTTGTTACTGTACACGCGCATCTGCCTGGAGGAGGGGAGGAGGGGAGTGTACATTTGGGTGATGTGAAGTTATATAGCAAGAGAGCAGGGCCCTACGAAAGCCGATGTACTTTTCTTGTATCAATAAAGATTTTCTTTTACAAAACAATAATTGGCAGTGCATTTTTACTTACAAGATATTATGGACATTTCAGCGATGTGTGATTGTAAAACAAGTGAGAAGAAGGAGCAGGCTCAATGGTAGATATTTTACTTGTTCGAAGTGCAATCGTGAAGAATAGAGTGTACAGGTGTTCCCGGTAACATCACAGCTAGACCGCCAGGAGGCGCACTAGGTTCACCTGGGAATTTCCTTGGGGGGACAGCCTCCCTCCTCCACTTACATAACTGTTTATATGTGGATATATATCAAGTACTGTCTGTATATTTTCTCACTTTAACTTTTTATAAGAAATCCTCCGATGAGGTGGAACGAACTTTGATTTTAAAAAGCAGAAAGAGCTTCCTCGGGAATGGTTGCCATGGTAACAAACCCACTTGTTGAAGATCTGCGTCTCCGCCATGTTGGACGTGAGCCCCGGGTCTCCTCCGTACCCGTCCGCGGCCGGGGAGTCCGACACGTCGAACGTCCACAGGCGGGGCTGGTCGTTGTACTGCAAGACGAAGCGCGCCGACTTGTACGGGCCCGAGAAGTCCACCCTGACCACGGCCTGGCTGTCACAGCCCGCCCGGCTGCCGTAGCTCGGGCCCGTCAGCACGGTGATGTAGTCGCTCCCGCCGTACACCTGCCCCTCGCGCAGGTCCAGCTCGATAGACTCGCTCTCGTCCCGCTGCGCCACGGCGGCATGGTCAACCGTCACTACAACAAGACAGGCACATACACTAGACTCATGTTCTACTGCACTATACTTCTGTATTCACGCAACATCAATATTATATATAGTATTTAACAGCTGGGACATGGGGATGTCTACAATATGCGTCGCTCACTGGTTTGAAGAAAAGAATGCTTGATCGACAAGCATATTTATTACTATACCTCCAGTCTGCAGTGTTGATAACACGTTTGTCCGTTATTGTGGCCATGCATGCGACAGCAAGGACAAAGAAACATAGATGCGGCAAAGAAAACTCCTATTAAACTGATACTGATAAACTGATACATTGAATTATCTCAATAACGGTTACTTGTTACTTATGTATGTTCATTTGTATCCACTAGTTTGTTTGTACGCATAGTTATAGAAGACCTTACGAAAGTCGATGTACTTTTGTTGTGTCAATAAAGATTTATAATGTTTCCCATCAACATCCTCCTGGCGAAACCACCCTCCTCCCCTCCCCACTCAAACCTGGGCCCCTGTTCTGGCGGGTTTCTGGTCACGCATGCCGGGGTAGGAAAATGCGTCCCTTTTCTGTAGACTGTGAGTACTGAAAGGCCTGGCCGGCTGATGACAGGGTCGCTCACTAACTCAGGAAGTGGCGATGACCCAGACTTCAGCAATGGCAACCTGGTGATGAAACCTTGGCTTTTTAGAGGAAACAATTGTTTCCGAGACGGACAAGCGGACCATATCATGGGAATGACAGAGATTGGCCAGAGAAAATGCGGCCATGGATGCCTCTAAAACAAGGACGTGGGGAAGTTTTGCTAAACCCACTTCTACTTCCAGTTTTAACATAACGACAGAAAAGGGACAGAAAATTTCACATACAGCAAGTGACTAGACCGTCAGTGAAGTAAGCTGGCTTGTATCAGTTGATACCAAATCACTAACTCAGTAACTGTTAGAAGTAGCCTGGAGTCCAGCTAGCTTTGGTCCGCTTCCCAAGATCGGATTTTCAGGCTGTGTTAGAAGGGCCATGGCACAGTGAAATCCATCATCCGCGGCTAAAAATTTCTAGAAGCAAGCCACTGAAGGGTCATCAATAACCATAAGTGATTGCATCTAGCTGATTTCATTCGGTGCTTCCTTGCAGCATGAGACAATCATTCAAAGCCTTTCTGTACGCTGTCTGGAATGACGATGATCATGGATGATGACGTAGCTTTAAATTGTCATCCACGTACTCGCTCATGCAGCGCCCTCAGGCGACAGGCCTGTACACGCCATACGCCCTGTACAGTCGACTCTTGCTCACTCAACGTTTTATACAGCAAGTCACAAGTCAACAAGCACTCAAATAGTGTAACTATAAACTATAGGAAGGAGTTGTATTTTAACAAAGATCATAACGTCATTTATCAACTGTGTGATATCTAGCTTCCCTTTCCTTTTTAAAATAAAAAACGGCCCTCCCCCTTTTGCGGGGAAATTGGGCAGTGGTGCAGAAGATGAGTGCGTTTGTTATCATGTCACTGGGATGTCACAAGGTCAGGCATGTTTGTTTAAGCACTCATTTTGCCTAGAGCGGCTAACATGGGTCGCACAGGCGTGTACATATGAACTGCGCCTTACTTTCTAGGTAGGCAGACGACTCAGGGTCTGTTGTCACATCGTCTGCACTACGGTCTGCATGTCTGTGTGTGTTAGTGTGTTAGTATGTATGTTATTGTATGTGTATGCGTTAGTGTGTGCGCGCGTGTGTGTGTGAGTTAGTGTGTGTGTGTATTTCTCTATGTGTGTGCCTGTCTGTGGATGTGTCTAGTGTGTTCGTGCGCCAGTTGTTTGTATCTGTGAGTGTGTGTGTGTGTGTGTGTGTGTGTGTGTGTGTGTGTGTGTGTGTGTGTGTGTGTGTGTGTGTACATGTGCGTGTGCGTATGTGCGTTTGCCAGTGCGAGCGCGCGCGTGTGTGCTTGTGTATGTTATCACGTTAACATGACAGTGTTTGATAAAATTACACCTCACTAGACTGCTGTCAAAGACCAGATAGATCAAAATGTAGAAATACTATAATAGGTTCTGAGGCCAACAAACAGACGCGACACAGGATTGAAAGGGCGACTTTAACAACAGACAGGGAATATTGCTGAAGGCAACACGAACACGTTACTCTCCGGTCGTTAAACGGCTTTAATAAAAACAAAAGAAGTGATTATCGACCAAGTGTGTCAACACAATTACCACGGGAGACTTGTTGACGGCGGAACAAAAGACTTGTCTGGTGTTAATTTTTCACCAGTAACCTTTTGTGTGACACAATCCAATTGCCAATTGAATTGGTCGAGATTGTTGTATGGGGACAACTCCTTACGCTGCGCAGAAACACGGAAGGAGAAGACAAACATGCCAGTCTATATGAGAACAAGGGATTCTACGACCAAGGAAGTTATATCCTACTTGCCATATCAAACGAAAATATGTGTTTCGATTTTCAGTCAAACAAAGTAGGTCCATTTCGTTTGACAGCAGAAGGAAGGGGCATACCTTGTCCCAGGTTTTTACCCCTGACCCCCTCCCCCGAAGGTAGCAATGAGTTTACCCTGATAATAGTCAAACAAATAAAGAGGGCGGACCGTGGCACGCTGAGTGTTGGAGAGTCACCTTTTTCTCTACTGTCACATGCGGACAATTATTACCCAATTTACGGGTTGGTGAATCAGCTGGAGGACTGGAGGGATTCAATCTCCCGGCTGGAGCGAGGCCGCCCCCCGCTGCCGGGGATTCAGCGCCCCACTGGTCGCCAAGTACTTGAATAACAAGGCCAAACGCCGCGATTGAACTCAAATAACGTGGGTCAACAAACCCTACAGTTGCCGTCTGCCTGCGAGAATTGAGAGGACGTGCCAAGTTCAACAACCTCCTACTAAACTTAAACTTAGTTTTTTTCTCCTGCTCCAGAGGCGCCAAGAACAAAGTATATCCAGAGGAAGTAACCACAATTTGGAGACTATGTGACTTGTGGGCCATGGTAACTGTTTCTCCATTATCACAGCGTGTGTACTAACATGGCTGGTAAGTCACGCCACGCCATGGTTAACTAAGAACAACAGTCCCACCATACATGACTGACACTCCAGCAATACGCCATTTCGACGGGACATTGGAAAGGTCAGCCATTGTGCTGCTCTGTCCAGAAAAATGGATTCACTTGTAGGCCATATGTCGTCAAAAGGACACAAGGAATGCATGAAAATGGCTAAAAACAAGTCTTGTTCCTTGTTCCAAGATCACGAATGACGCACATGGCTACGTACTATTGCCTCTCTACTTGACCCAGGGATGAGACACATCACCTGCGAACCCCAACTCCACTCTAAGTGTTTGGTTCGTCGTTCTTTAAGTTAAACATAACACTGAGCCAGTTACCTCGCTCACAACCTTATCTACTGCTGCCCATCGTATAAACATGTTTCCCGTTTCTTTGGTTAGGCCATGCTGAATCACTCTGGGCACGAGAGGGTGCCAAGAGGGCTCTCTTACCTCCGACAACGACCAGAAGAAGTCCAACAATTGTCATGTCCGCCATAGTCTACAACCAAGCAGAGTCACTGGGAGTTCTGGATCGGGAGTCCTGTCCTTGCGATGACGACAACAATCTAGGCTAGCCCTGCTGCCCTCCGGTCATCCGCTCTCCCCTCGAGGTGTTCCCCTCCAGCCGTTTATTTACAAATAAATTAACGATGATTTCTTGCCCGTCGTGTTCTCGGTAAGGGGTAGTGTTCTCGCGGGAAGACCGCGGGTTTGTGGCGACGTCTCGGGTTCTAGCGAATAAAAAGTGGCCGGGGCGCGGCAAGAGGAACGCCGACACTACGCTCCACGTGAAGCGGTCAAAAGCTTTTCTATCAGTGCGCACAAAAAGCGACAAGGTAAATTGAGAAAACACAATAGTTGCCTTTTAGATAAAGATGACAGGGAGTTGTGACTATGAAACCTGGACATGGTTGGCGCTTTGTCCTCCTGAAGCGTAAAGCCCGGTCCCTTTGAAACATGTCCCCGCGCCCCACTGGCCGTTCCAACCATTTGTTTGATCCCTGACAGTCATTTAGGTTGGAGACTTCAAAACCTGAAACGCTCGTTAGTGTCAATGGATACTGAGAAAACAATGCGCCAATACTGAGAAATGAACAGAGGTACTCCAGAGGCAAAGTTATACAATGTATCACATTAGTTTTCACTTATACTCAAATGACGTTTTCTCTTTATTGTGTTCATGATCGTATTTGAATACAGTAATCATTGAAATACGATGATTATGTGAGCTTTATATGTCTACCAATAGTTATCGTCACGCTAACCCATGCAACATCCTTCCTGTTCGCACGCACCTCAGCGCAGTAGAGCTGTATTCCTGTAGAGGAACACTATACGTAATAATAGCCAATTCAAAGACATAGCTGGTGTTACCGTACCTGTACTCCATTCAACTTTATTGCAGTTTATATCAGCATATTAACCCCTATCCGTGTTTGCAGTCACGTGACTGTGACGTAATGTAGCGTCCGCCATAATGGTGGGTTAATGATACAAGTGACGTCATCATACCTATTTCTCCACCTGTTTGCTATAATTACTATTCATTCCTTAGAACTATTGTGAACAGGGCCGAACGCCAGACGAACTTTTGTGTGTCCAGCATGGCCAGACGCCAGACGCCATCTTGGATCCCTACAAATTGACGTCGTTAGAAAATATTCCTGCGCAGTTTGAGCAAACTATGTAAATTTGCATATGGCTTTTCGTATAGGTGTGTCATATAAGAGTAAAATTATATGCTTTATATTAAAGACCACTATTACTGGTATATTAAGGTACAGGTTTTAAACGGCTTATTTCGTTTTTACTTTATAACATGCTTGAAGAAAATTATCGTTCATGAGGATGTGCTACTGTGGAAAGTATAGTTCATCATATTTTAGAACCGGGAGCAGGCAAAGAGACCGGGAACTGGCCAACAATAACCACACACCCACACACTACACAGAAACATGTTTTCCACTTCAGGATTTAAAAAAAAATAGATGGCCCAGATTTTGGCTGGGCACCGCTGGACGGGTGGTGGTTTTTATCCGCCGGTCGACGTGTTTATACTATCGTTAAACGGTTGTTTATTTGAACGTTGTCAGGAAGATATTCCTGGGGAACTTTGAAAGCATTCCTGGGCGGCTTGGCATGGTGACAGACCGTGCGAACAGAGGCCCGCCATCCCTCTCGACATGTCCGCCTCGATGCCAGACTGTTTCCAGGGCTTCTGCACGTCAGCTCCTCGGCTGCAGGGCCAACATGACCCCCTCAAGGCTCAAGGACATTTTACCACAGACACCTCTCAGTTAAACCCTGGGCAACAGCGTATATGTGGTAAATTTTCTTGGGGTCATGTTGGCCCTGGGGCCGACGAACTAGCCTGCATGGGCCCTGGCAACAGTCTGGCATCCAGGCTACATCCATACAGACTGGCGGGCGCAACAAAGTACAACATGCAGCGGGTCTGTTACTATACAAACAAAGAATCTGACCGTTTTCGTAAAACAGATGCGAAAGTAGTCGTTATACAGATAGAATATCAGTAGTTCTTCATCATCTAGATAGGGCGTCTGACGCGCGCTTGTACTTTATGAAGCAGCAACGAACAGGTTACCAATCAACATGAATATAGATCGCATCCGAATGTTACGTACCTGTAAGGAAATCCTAATAAGTCGACGCGGAAAATGCAGCCATAGATGTATAGTACGATAGCCTTGGATTTGGAAGTTACATGTGTTTGCCCCCTATTAACTGTGAATCTTTCATCCCACACTAATATTCCTCTATATTGCACTTTGATTTGATTTGATTTATATATTGAAATTGTAACAGTGCAATTGACAATACACATGGAACACAGGTCGCTGTTGCTGGTGTTGTGTCCCGCACATAGAAACGAATACTGGAGAGACAATACTCATTTTCACTTGAGTTTAGTGGGGGACGTCGTGTAAATTGAAGTCAAATGTGATATCTTGTTGTTCCAAAGGTTTGTACTTACATGATTATGGTGTAAACACTGCCCGCCAAGTAAATCTACTGATCATTAGCTGTATTCTGTTCACAAAAACTGTTACTAAACAGTTCTGAAATACTCCGCTAGGTAGCGCTGATGACAGGTGAACTAATAAAATTACACTGGCGGGAGCCAAATGTGACATCTGCTTCCCATACAAGAATGGGCCGACACCACTCATCTATATTAGTTGAAATGCTGAAAAAGGTCATTGCCTTATTATCAGATCATCGTGTGGGAGGGAATGAGAAAAAAGTGACAGGCAGGGGCCGCAGGGCTATAAAAATCCTTCAACCGTCATTTCTTCAGAAAAATCCGAAAAGGACACCGTCTCCACTCAAACTGCATGTGATACTCGCAACAAAAACATCTCCATGAAAGTTTCTGATGTAATATTGATTGATTTCAAATAGGACTTTGCATTTTTGCACTTCCTCCTATCTGTGCGTGAACGTGTCTCAGATCTGCTGTATTTCCTTCCCTAATTTCCCAGAAGTGTGCAGCTCGCGACTTTCTCTGTGCACGATAGAAGCCACCGTGAATCAGAAGTAGTTATGTAATACCACGAAGAACATAACGCACCGAACGAGATCAGCTCAATCGAGTTGTGAAGACAGACAAAGGGCCCACGTGCTTTATGAATACATAAATGATACACATGCTAAAGATAATCCAAAAATAGCTACAGACTATAGCAACATCAAAGATAAACCATGTTCTAAATCGTCAGAGCTCTGACAGATCTTTGCAATTACATCTATTTACCGGTACCATTTTGACACAATCTTTTGGCAGTGATAGATAAGATTGGGGGATCTTGGATATCAAAACTAAATCCCTGTCACTACCTTTCCAAGAAAGATTGTAGATTTCTTTGTTGCATGGTGCATAGCACGCCTCCGTCGTCCTACTTTGAAAATTAGATTCTCTATCTACCCGTGGTTATTCCACCGAAAGGAGCAGCATTTTCCTATTCCATTTGTCAGAAACCTGTCTGCACTAAAACTAGATTGCTTAGAGTGCGCCCAAATTAACTTCTAAAAAGCACACGGAGGTCGACAAGTGGAACGGCCTTGTCCTCTCTACCAGGCCTCGGCCTTTATAGATTTCAACAGGACTAGACTTCTTTAGAACACGCCTAGGAAGAAGCAGCTCGGTAGTGAATAGAATGCAGCTCTCAGTCGCTGAGAGCTCACGGAAATGTAGGATTATAGTGATGTCGGGGATATGTGATTCTAAAACATAGCTCACTCGTTATAAATTAGTTCTTTTACTGTTGTCTTATCCGGTCAACGCAGTACCAAGTGGTTTGCGTAATAAACCATTACAAAAAGTAGCGTTGTCTCTATCGATATATCTGCCGCCAGAAAGGAAAGGAGAAGAAGCAAAAGGAAGCCAAGAGCCGCTGGGCATACTCACCTACATCCTCTCATGAGTTAGGTATATCTGAAGACGAAGAAATGATTGCATGTATAATATTATATATATCGCTGGTAATATATTCTGCAGTTTGTATGCTTGAGGGAGTTGGCAATTTTCACCTTGTTTTGACACATTTTCGTTCTATATACAATTCCTTCTCTTCTAACAACTTAGAAAGTTTCCATGCTATAATGTGTTGGATGTTTCCGGAGGATGAAGACTAGTTTTAGAACATGACAGTCGCTGTACCCAATTGCTGGACCTCTTCCTGTGTTTTTTCAGTACAAAGTGGCAACTGTCAAACTTTTCCATCAAACTCCCAAACAATAGTGTTTAAGGCTACCCACTTGGCGCGCTTCTAACTCCATTATTTTCTCTTTCGTGTCCCTAAAAGCTGTATCGTAGGTCCACTGAAAGCTCTAAATGGGCCGAAAAGTGACGCCGTTTAACCCCAATGGACTCACGCGATTCACACACACAACAGGAAGTTGTTAGTGAAGTATCGAGATGAATTTTGGCCTGAGAACAGACGTGACACGACTAACAACATGACGTCATCAGAGCAACTCGTCCCCAGGGTATAGTGATGATCCGTCCTGGATATGACGACAGGTGTTCCGGGCATGGCGAAACATTTCCGATGAAAGAAAATCTTTAGATAAGCGGATTAGCAGGGCTGGTAATTAATAAGGTCAAAAGGGGTATGGACTCTATCGGGGTAACAGGTGTGTAATATATAATTTCCTACGGGTGGCAGTACTAATCTCCAGTAAAGTGTGCTTTTTTGTTGCAGCCTTCGGCAAACGTTTTGGGTTCTGAGTGCCCCGTGATTATGTACATCGTTTTGCAAAGTGAGAAAGTTTGAAGCCCCTATCACACATCTCTTTTCGGGATCTTCCAACGATTTGTTCCCTATCCCAGCCAATGTCGGCGCTGTGTTGGGATTAGCTCCAAAGTCATAGTGGGCTGGTACAGACGAATTCTAAAGACTAGTAGGCAACCTGGCCGGACAATTCCCAACCATAGATGACCTTGCTTACGACTACCTCCCACCCATAGTCTGGAGAAGGTCGGGAGGCCGTGGTTGGCTCTGTGTGACAGGGACTTGACACTGAGTTTACCAGTTTCAAAAGACAGTTGCAGATCGAATGGCATACGGCCAAAATCGATGTTCTCTCACATCTTCCATCGCTATTGTAGTAATGGATCAAGATAACTACTGACTTTCTGCCGGGTTTTTATTTGGGACATCAGAGAAGTGTTTGAAACTTTCTCAACCATGACGACGTCTTGTGTTGTTAGTTGAGACTTTCCGCCTTCGTTGTAAACACGTGCTCGGAATGGCGGCGCCGGGATGATTTCTGGGCGCCTCCGGAGCTGTCAGAAGAAACGTTATGCAACATTTCTATGGCAGGATGTTTGTGTGTGAGAGACCCCGATAACATTCAGAACACATCCATATGTATGCATCCTTGACATTATACACCAGACAAAGGTGAGACTGTGGAAGAAGTAGGGACAAGGTCATTAAACTTTAAAATACCTGGACTTAGACCAAGAGTTTGAGTGCAAAGATAACAAAAAATACTCGGTAGCTAGATTAGGTTTGCCGGTTTGGAAACCAGGCTTAGGTCATGGACCATAGACGTAAAACGATTCCTTCTCCATGTGTTACACCTGCCAAAACAATGACGGGCTGTGTCCAGGTGATGTACCAACAAACTTGACCAGGACGCGGGGGTGGCTGGGTTGTGTGCGATGGCTCCGGCAGAAGTCGGTGATACATCCTGCCAACGTGCGCTGATTACCCGCGGGGCTGATTACGTCTGTCGGTACGTAAGAGCCACGAGTCGCTCATCACGTGCAGAAGTAGAAACAAAGTTGATTCCATTAGGAAGGGATGATAAGGGAGTTTTTTCTCTCCAAAACTTTACGATCTGACGAAGGATACAAGTTTGACACTGCTTTGTCTACGGAGCAGGTTGAGCTTAATGAATGCAAGTTAGGGCTTCAGAGGCTTACGGATTTCAGATATATTTGCAAGCATAGGACTTTGTGTGAAAATCCTTGACACTCTTGGGCCCTGTTGTACCAGAAACTTTGTGATCTACAAAACAGTGACGCAAACTGATTATAAGTTGATACAACAGACTGCAGTAGTTAACGTGAGGAGCAGAGAGACGGCAGGGCGCACTTTCAGTAATGGTTGTATCATTCCGGAACTGTAACTGGTCACATGACCTAGCGATTACGAAACAACTTGAAAGAAAAGTTGGCTAGTCGTTTCCTCCTCCGTAATTTGTCCTTCTGACGTGATGTGCATGTGTCTGCGGGATAATCACCTGTCATCGCGGGTATATATAGCGGCGAGAACAGCGTGTGGCATTCAGGCAAGGAGATCATCCGGCGGACAGAACCTCTCCTCACAGACGAACCTGCAGGACACGTACGACAGACAAGGTAGGTTCTCTGTCTTACTCCAGTCTTTTACTCTTCAAACATTGCTCGGGTTAGTGTTTCCACATAATAGTTCAGTCTATGGGGAGTGTTGGTACTTTGTACAGTATCGTGGGCCATTGGCGGCCAATGGACATTGTCTGGGAAATAGATACTAACCTGGCCAGTTTGATACTGTCTTAAATTTGCGGCCCCCAAAGATCTGCTTGGAGATAATATAAGAAGACGTCTCTACGCTGAAATACTTGAGGTGGATCTGTAATTCGTCCGTCTATTTCTTCTTTTGGTCTTGTGTTGACGATCCAAAATGTATTCTTTTGTGTAAAGCAGTAAGGAAGCATGTACTCATAGGTCTTTAGGTCTAGGTGTGGCGGGGTGGGACGGTGGGACCGTAATATATACGTAAGGCATAATAAATGTACCAAGACAAAGTCACACTGGCTCGTCGTTTGTGACTACGATTGTAAAGGGAAGAGAAGCCCCAGTGTCTGTGCATTGTCTGACTGTTGGGCCCGGTCTTGTCAGCCGTCGAAATGAGTTTTGGCCGACTGGATCTAGAGTAACGGAGATAGACAGTACAATGTTGGGAAATGGGGAGTCAGTTATTACACTATTATATCGCGGCACAAGCAATTGGAACAAATCAGTCTAAAAAAGAATGTGATGGATTTTTTTTGCTCGTAGATGCTTTAGTTTTTTGGCTCGCAATTGTTGCCATTTTGCTGGTCTGTATGGTTGACATGCGAAACTGCGATGTCGTGTATACATGAATGTATATTCACCTATAGAGCCTGTTGACTTTCGTCGTACGATCGTCGTACGGCCGCAAACTGTGTCGTGCAAAATTCGGGTCACCTACTTCCTACCTCGGCCAGTCACGGGTATCGATGTGTTTTATCCATAACCTGTCACATTTCCTGCTGTCCTGCACACCGGTAGTACAAAACGACGGCTGTGATTATTATTAACATAACGCCCTGAAGAAGCTCCGGACATGAACTGTTCAACACCATTATGTGACTGCAGACTGTACAAATTGTGTTAACGTCAGTATGTGCTACGTCTCTGTGTTCATTAGTACGCATATAAAGAGTTTAGGGCGTTAAAGACAGTCGTCATTTCCACCTGCACAGATATATCATGTCAAATTAAGAAGAAAGCTCACTTTTTCATAGGGAGGAACAGTCTACTGTTCATTATCAATCCCAAGGTCAGATCTAGCGCACTCCGGCCTTTTCGTCCATCTTCTGTGCAGAAGGAACAAGTAACTGACGATTTCACATTGTACACCCCAGGAAATATTTTAGAATATTGTGAATTTCTTGTTTTATTTATCAAAGTGAATTTCTGTACATACTCCACTGTTACTTCTTCCCAGCCTGTGATGAGATCATTTCGCCCTTCCTGTCATGAAGTCTGCGGTTACACCATTTCCCCCTCTCACTTCCTGTGACTCTATTGTATTGAAATAACTACGGGCACACCAGCAAACAAACACACACAAATCGGACACTTCTTTCGTACTTCTCCCAGTTTGCATGAGAAATTAGAGCGATAACTTTTCTCAAATAAAGTACGCCTTATTTCCTACCTTTCGCCTATATTCGAAAGTAGACCATCGCGTACTAGTATCAGAAACGTTCGTCCAAAAGTTTAACGCCCACATTGTGAGAAGCGCGCCGTGAAGTAACAGCCACAAAATAATCGTATTAGGATTGCCATCAATCCATTAGCTACAGGAAGGCACTGGCTAAAGTCATTCATAACAGCCTAATTACGGAATAAAGAAGGAAAGTTGAAATTCTTCTGGGAAAGTTGAAATTCTGCTGGGATATATAAGACCTGGATGAGGGCAAAAAGTTTAGTTAAGAAAAATAGATGATATCCAACCTGTCACTTCTGACGCCCGCCAACTGTCTGCAGACGTTAGTTGCCTTCACTTTAACCCCGGTGTAATTTCTTATAAAAGTCATGCACTGCTGCCAGGAGTCGAAGACGTGCGTGAATTAGCGCATTGTGTCAGGTCTCATCACGACGCCGAGTGGAAACATGGCGCTGCGTTTTCATTAACTGTCTGTCGATTGTTGGAAATCGTGTCATTGTCGGTAGTACTGCGCAGGCCCAGTTAATCGGGTCTGACCATGACTCTGTGTGAAGTTAAGGACATGCAGGACATGCACATCAGTCACAAGTCTGTAAACACATGTTCACGTGCGACCAGAACCAACTCCATTAGCGGTTCGACCAATGAGAGAGTGGCTGCATTTCTTAGTTTTGACGGAGGTGGGCGGGGCTATGGGATGGGCAATGCTTACGTGACGTCACCTGCGGTGCCATCTCTTGCACCTTGACATTACTCTACGTTGACAATTGCGGCTTTTATTAATCAGATTTGGCCGGCGGCAACTTGACTAAAGAAGTACTTTGAGCGTCGTCTGTTGGAAGCCATCCAATTTGGTAGCGCCGTGCCTCGCATCAAAGCATCTTGAGAGCTTCCTCCTCACAGAGTTATGAAGAACGACATATACGTCTTGAGTCATGTCTGAAGTGAATCCCTAAAGCCCCTCACACGACTATGTTCCCGACCAAGGTCGGCGCTGAGTTGGGCGTAATCTGTGATTTACCTTATTCTAGCTCAAGTTCGCGCCTCTGATCACATCAAAGCAAGATGTAACTTTTCGTTTTTTTTTTAAATCCATAGTCGACTGGCACAGGCGGTTTGCTTTTAAAGACTAAGAGGTAACCTCATCGGCCACCTCCCAACCACAAATGACCTTGTTCACAGTTGCAACTAACTGCCAACCATGGTCTGGAGACGGTCGGGAAGCCATGGCTATGGGTTAAACATGTGTGGATATTTATCATCCTACTTACGGATGAGCTGCTGTGGGTCGCAATCTGTGTGCTATGTCATATCTTCTTAAATCTTAAGAACTTTTCCCTAATGTGAACCTCTGTGTCCACAGACATGCTAGCCAACACCGTAGCCGCTCTCACCGTGTGTGTGGTCGTGTTCTGGACCATGGACCAAGCGGGGGCCTTACCAAGGTACGGGGAACATCCGTCATGATTCTTGGGGTGGTCGTGCATGTGTCGTGCAAAGTTTAGCTGTTACGTAAAAGGCTGTTCTTGTCTTGCATGGTTCTGTCAGAGCCTGTTTGAAAATCGTACAACGTTCGCTCTGCGAAAAATATGACCGCGCCAAAAGTTTCCTATACAAGATTAATGAAAAGGATGTTAACTAATCATTAAGACCTTTCGAAACGTACATTTTATCATGAAGTGTTTAGATGCTTATTCCAACTTGTGTTTTCTGTTCAACTTTTGTGTAGTTTTACTGGACTTTGTGTTCATCAAATGCCTTCTATATACACACGGTAACACACCGTAGAATCTTTTACACACAAACAAACGCTTTGTGATTCTTGGCAGAAGATATAATTAAGCAAACCAGTGAAGGTATTATTAATCTAAGTCCGTATCCCTGGCAATGAAGAATAATGAAATAATGAGTTAGTGCTGTTGATCTCCTACAGACCAGCAGATGAAGACAACAACCCCCTGGCCCTGTCCAACAGCGATATGCGGCGGATCGTGTCGGCACTAGTGCGGGAAGTGGACCAACTGGCTGCCGAGAAACGGGCCGCCCAGAGAGTGTTTGGACCGTAGGTTTCACACTCACACAGTTCCAAATTATACTGGTCTATGTCTGTCGAAAAAAATGCGAAGAAAATGTACCACAATGATATAATTATCCAATGTTTCTTTACATAATGTAGACAACAAATCCTATGATAACATAGCATGCGAGAAGGCTTGCAACTTTTCATACATAAATACTCGTGTTCGTGTGCATGGAACACACATACACACACAATGCATGTCATAAGAACATAAGCTGGTCACTAGTTTCCAAGGGCATCAGGCTGGAGGTTCTCGCTACTATATGCCTCTGGACAACTTAACCCACCCCGGGGATTTTGCTTGCCTGTACGTAAATTACAAGACCTTCCAGTGAGGCTGGAGCAAAGTTTCCTTGGTGGTATGTTAGACCTGGCACGGAGGAGCTGGCCTATGCGTTTGCTGGCAAGTTCGCATTCCAGGTTACATTTTAACGTTGTATTTGTCTCGTTTGTTGAAGGGGCAAATGGAAGAGAGACTGCTCCACACTGACGTGCTTCAACCAAAAGCTGGCCCACGAGCTCGCCATGGACAACCAGAGGACCGACACCGCCAACCCCTACAGCCCCGGCCGCAAGAGGAGGTCTGCCGAGGAGGAGTCCGACCAATGATCACGGAACCACGCCAGTGAACGATGAGGATACGTACCATGGAACTCAGACTTCCACTGTGACCAACTCTCAGACAAGCAGTGCATTTGTCATTACAGTTCTGAAAGACAAAAACTGAAGGTAGAACATTTTGTTTTAGGTTTTTTGTTTGTTCGCCGCTTATTGTAAACTCTTTGTTTTAGACTAGCCGTTTTAGTCTGATAGGACTGTTTTGACAAGTGTAAAAATAAAACTTAAACCATAGGAGAAACGTTCCTGTAGTTATTGGAGCGATTTAGTACATTGTGCACTCCCGGAGAGTGCAGCATTGATGTGAATTTTATCAGATCTTTATCAGATTATAAGTTATGTAACAGTACAAGTCACCAGCTTGGTAAGGCAGCTTTAGATAGCTTCACCTCAAAATCATGTTCATGTTCTAGGCATGTTAATTTTTTTGCTCACGTATTACACTTATGTTTCCCGGGGCAACACCCATGAAGATTTCAAGGACACCTAGCGAGAAATACTTGAACGACATCAAAATGATATTGACAAAACCTTTGCTACAGATAGTATGGCAGAAAGCGGATGACAGTAAGCCGATGTGTTTGTTCAATCGTTTTCTATGGGTTTCAGTTCTTTTGAAAGTCGCCAGAAAAAGTTTTCTACATCCCCTTCCTCGATGCAAGCAACACATAGCCCTCCTTTTCCAACATTGCCTTTGAAATAAAACAGAGATATGACTGTAACTGTCACCTTGTGTCGTGTCTAGATCTTGTCATGATATAATCCATTCACATGTTTTGTTTTGAAAAAGTCACGGGCTTTCACTTGACTAAACCCCCATAGTAATCCCTTAAGCTCTCTAGTCTTTTATTCTTTGGTGCCTTCCAGTACATCCCGTGATGTTTCATCGATAAAACGTCCTTGGTTCAACGTTTAGTCTGGTGTCTAGGAGTGGTCATGTGACAACCATCGCTCACATGTTAGACCATTTACACGTTTGACTCATTCACAGATAACCACACTTCTTACTGAATTTAGGACGGAAATTTAGTCACAATTAAACAAAATAAATTATTTAAACCGTAGGAGAATAGGACACCCTTTCCCCATCTTATCCACAATCGTCTCTGTCTACAAGGAACAGTCTCCAAACACATACCAGCTATTGTTTTGTCTCCATATGGAGTTGCCCTGGTGTTGCTTTGCTTCACTTCACAACGTACGACCTCTTCTCTTTTGTGTTGCAATTACTTACGTTCGAGCGATAGCACGAAAACATACATGGTTGGTTTTGAATACATGATATTAGATACTACATTCATCTTCAAGTAAATACAGGTACATCACCCAAGAAGGTTTGATTTTCAACCTCCTTGCATCACCCAAACGCTCACAGCAATGATTTTAAAGCTTCTGCGTTCACTAACGTTACGTTACGTTGTAAATCATGAACTTGCAGAAAAAGACGCTGATTAAACGAGACGTCTGCGTGGATGCTGGTCATAAAATCCTCATCCATGCAGACATATTTCGCACTGCATCCATAACTATCATTACCCTGTCAACATCGCCTTAGAGAGGTAATTACCACAGCGACCTTTCTGCACCATACAAGCGTCATTGATAATTCATGCTGCCCGTTCATCATTCCTGTCCTTCTACATGGTGGGTACCAGTCAACGCCTCGTCGAGAACAATGCCAGACCCCACTTTAAACGTCGAGCAATTTTGTATCATAAAATATTCAACAGTGGTGTCCAAAATATGATATCAAGACCATGTGGACAATGGTTCGGTGCAGTCATGCACAGCTGCGTCTCCAGGGAGAGGCGGTATAAATTCGGACAATCCGTCGTCAACAACATTGTCGTCACTTGAAGAGGTTGAACCGGCTGTACCGAGAGAAGCTGTGAGATCCGACACCATGGACAGCAGGGTTGTTCTGATTTTGCTGGGGACTCTAGTCGCATCAGGTAAATTAATATAGAAAAGTAAAACTGTCAAGAGGCTCCTCTAGTCTGTCCACTCTTAAATTGTGTCTTAAAACGTCAAGAAATTTTTTCAGAAGTACTTTTCCATATGGAAAGATACAGGGGTATCCCTTGTAAGTTGTATGACGGGGTATCATACTCAACTGCAACTATGCCTTTTGAAACGGAAATGGAACAAAAGAAAAGAAGCTACAGCATCTAACCATGAAAATACAAGCCTGCTGCTGACTAGTGCAATTGTTGCCAACAACATTTTGAAAGTAGTATTTTAGAACCCGCTCTAGTCGAGGAAAAGTATACTCCAGCACAACATACTGTATGTGGTAGATGATTGTGCTCCGTAGCCTGGGTACCATCCTGGTTAGTTTGCGTCGGCTCCGACAGTCACTACCCGTGGGTATCGACTGTCCGAGGGGACGTTAACGAACCAGAATGTGGTCCCAGGCTATATGTTGTTTTTTTTGTATAATTTCCAACATGTAATCACAAGACGTGGTGACGGCGCACTCAAGTTTTTCAAACTTATATTAATGACGCCACCAACACAGGGGACAATACAATACTCATTTTCACCTCAGCGAAGTGAGGAAAGTCGTGTCAAGTGCCTTTCCCAAGGGCACAAGATCGGTGGCATGTCAGGACTCGAACCCGGGACCTCTAGGTTACGAGTCGAGCACTCTGCTGCTACGCCACACGACCCCACGGCTATGTGTTGCGTGTATGAGTTCCTTAAAAAAACCTTCTTTACCCCACAGGGTCGGCCCTGGTGTGTTACAAATGTTCCGGAACTGGCGATGACTGTCGGAAGAATGTTGCGTCCATGGATAACAACACGGAGACCTGTTCGAGCCTGCAGACTAGATGTGCCGTAAGTACATCATGTTTTCTACGACATGCTAGGGACGGTCAGTTAAAATTCTGGCTCGTGTGCGGACAGACATCGACCGACCATAGGACAGGCTCGTGTGCGGACAGAAATTGACCGACGATAGGATAGGCTTTAATAGAGCCCTACACATGTGAACTACAGTCAAAACGTGCCCCAAAAGACCGACACAATTCCAACTTACGTACTTTGTAATACTTAGACTAAATAGACTGTTATTTGTACGTAGTAACAACAGTAAGGCAAGATCTACCTGCTGCCGTTATCGTGGGTTCGGCGTAACTCTGCTCGTAAAGGTGTTTGTGATGAAACAATACTCGACGCGCAAGGTCACTTCAAATTGTTCTGTTTGGAAAATAGTTTCACATCTATGCAAATTTGGCGTTGGAAATGCAGGAATAAGAAATTTTAGGGAAATAAAAATTAATTTTTCTCTATGTCATCCTGTCATCTATGGCCATGGACTTGACATCGTACGATAGCAACGGCCTTGCAACGGAGACAACACAGAAAGACATCTGCTATGTCCAGCTGTAAAGATCTAGTTCTATTAAAGGCCTGTTAGTTTGTACGAGTCATTCGATGTCTTTGTTCTTTGACAGACCACCTACAGCAAGTTAAGTGGTGACTACGTATCCTTCAGCCGGGGCTGTGCCGTCGTCGCCACTTGCATCTGCGGCAATATTGGAGGTGAGTTCTTAAACACCTATACATGTATACTCTCCCCAGTGTTTTCCTCGACCAGATAGCCTTCTCGGCAAACGTAGATAGTAAACCTCAGTCAATACTGAACTGCAAGAATTGGTCTATAGCATAAAATCATGTTCATTCTACCAGTACCAAAACCTTTATCCATACAGGCACTGGAGCCTGCGTGAGATGCTGCAAAACTGACAGGTGTAACACGACCAGCGGCTCCTCTACTGCGCAGGCCCAGGGTGTGGTCGCCCTGCTCGCGGCCGCCATCTTGTCGATGCTCCTCTCCGGGAAGCAGTGAGACAGATGATTGGTCAATGGCTCAACAAATGACAGGACAGCGCTAGTTAGTAAAAAAAATGGTGTGATGAACAAGGAATAGCGTAGTTTGGCATTCCCAGTGTGCCTTATGATATGAAGCGTGGTCTAATCTCTTTCCAGTCTATCGCTTTTCGTATAGCCTAGCATTTCCAGATTCTTGGAGGGTAGTGTTGCAAATGTGCTCTCTGTAAATTCAATAAGCATTTGTGTGATTCTGAACAACACTTACGAAATGGAAAAGCGTAGTAGCTACATGGCATAATGAATGTTAAGAAATTATCTAACTAGACAAATGAGCATGAACCATGAATCTATAAGGTGGCTGAGACCAAGTAGGTGCAACAACTTTGTGAGCTGTATAATAGGCGACATTCTTACGTGGTATGGTAAAGGTATGCCTACATGCTTGTCGTCAAGGGTTATCTCTTATGGCGCCAATAGTAGACTATGAAATATCGTAAACAAATATAGAAGGCGTTTCAATCCCTGTCCGTGAATTGAAGGAAATAAAAAGCTTCTCGTGACGCTTTGATCGAGAACGACAAAAAGGTCTCTTGTCAGTCTCAGTGAATTCCTCTCTGGTACAAAATGTATGTCGCATGGGATGGGCGGGCGGCGAGAGGTTTACGATCTCATATAGCTGTTTCTAACACAAAGGTACAGAACGTACAATATGATTATGATGAAGGTCGCCATTAAAAATGCAGAAGTGTTAGGCGGCAACAAATCTCCCCCCCCCCGCTCTACTGAATGAATGTGCGATGTCTGTGGAAGCCAACATCGCACTAGAATGTACGTATGTACATAATGTCCTTGGTATGTATAACGTTACGTGCGTCCTGGTCCAGTGAAGGGAATTTGGCAACAGCACTTTAACGCCATTGTTTACCTCAGAATTTGTTCCTCCAGAGGTTATTGAAGGTTGGGTACGTGATAGCGTGACAAAGTCTAATTAAATTTGATAAATGAAGCCGTTTTTACACCACAAATAATGCCTTAACTACAACTGTATAACGCTTTGTTGACAGCCGCGCCTTGAATAAAAAGACCATTTCAGAATGGTGTGATTATAGCACGCAAAGGCACTACTTGGCGGAAACATGTTGTTTCTAAACCCATGAGGTTGAACAAATAGATAAAATAAATCACATGTAGACATGTTGTAATAACAAAGAAACTGTATACTGACCTACAACACGTTCAGGACAGAGAGAAAAACAAGAAGGGCGGCAGAATGAAGAACGTCATGCACAAGTGTGAACAGAGAGGGTGGTGTGTCCACCTTACATGCATGACGGGTGAGTTCATTGAATGAATGGTTACATACATGTGCAGATGAGTTGACGTTATGGACAGGTGCCTCAAAGCTTGTGTAAGAATCATGCATTTCCCACTTGCCTGAACATTTAAAGTCATAGAAAACGACCCCCTCTCTCTGTCTCTCTTTCTCTCCCTCTGTCTCTCTTTCTCTCTCTCTGTCTCTCTCTGTCTCTCTCTTTCTCTTTCTCTCTCCTCCTGTCAGTCAGTGTAATTCAGATTAAGACATATCGCGGATGTGGACATAATGCTTGAAAGAAAAGTACAGTACACAATTTTCCCTGCCGACATAGCTCAAACGGACTGCACTTCAGGTCTGGATCGCTGTGCGGAGAGGGTAACCTAGCGTTACGTGTAGAACACGTGCAATCAACGAGATTATAACGCCGTTATATATAACCTCATTGGCACAGTTGGCCATTGAATTCATAATTTGCTTCATGCATATGTGGTTTTATACAACACAAATATGAAAACGATGGGTCCCGGGGAAATATTTTTGCCGCAAAAAGCTGTATTCCTAGTCATGTACACTTGTGTTCGTCTCTTTGTAGCTGAAACCGTCCTTGTGGTTGTGCCGTGGCAACGGCATGAATAATGTATGCACTTCTCTAATGGTGATTAATCAGTCTGTACGGACACAGGTACCTTTCACAAGAATCCATTTTACATCCTCAACACCAGTGACTATTCGTAACAACTACATATTTGATGCTCCAATGACTTACATGACTACGGTTTTACCATTAATAGCTTCCACTTGGAGTTTGTCCACATGTCGACAGGTTGAATCACGTTTAATACACGTAGATGTGAATTACTTTTAAAAGACTGGATTTAATGCAAGTTTTTTGGTACTGGTGTGGGTGTGGAGACAACGGAAAGTTTTGTGTTCCGGAATCTGCAGGTCGAGGATCTTTATGCATGAAATAATCTGTGTAACCCTTGGGATTGGTGCGCCTGTATAGAGCAGGTAACCCATGCAGTCAAGTGATAAAGAATTTTCCAAATCATCAGCAACCATTGTTGGACACATTTCAGTTCCTTTCCATGGTGTCAAATGTGAAATGTGAAATACACTAAAGCCTTTTGTGACTCCACATAGTTACATGTACGTGTACAATTGGGTCACTCATCTCGTGAAATTGTCAGACAGTCTTCCAACCGGTAGAGGGGGTGACTTCGTGACAGCAGGTACTGAACGGTGGTTAAGGGAAATTAGGTCCTGATTTCACAGTCTATGCGCCTCTTTGTATGGCGCCTGGTGTAAAAAATGACCCACTTTCATCTTATGTGTTTGTCACTTTTACTTTACATTTCATTCTGTTTTTAATGATGTTAATATTTTGGATTATCGTTATAGAGGGCGTCTACTAAATATCTTAATGGCTTGTCCTCAGGCTTCCGCGTACGAAAGTATTGATTTGGGTGGCTGAGGTGTTGGTTTGTGTCTCTGTACCTCCTAATTGCTTCTTACGCATGGTGGGTACACGGAGGTGATATTGACAGCCCGTGAGAGTAAGGTGGTGTGTGGAGGAATTCAGGAAGTGGTGTAGTCCCCTGTAAAATTACAACCCCTTCACAGTTCTACTTCATCATTCAGTTAAAATTTAACCTTCTTGATTTCATCCACAAACACCCATAAGGTCTGTGAGCTTGCAATTGGAGGTCACGAAAACCCAAAATACTTCCCGACAGTCTGAAATCTCCAACTTCTCGTTTGCTTTGAATTTATTGTAAATCGTGAGGTACACGCAGAACCCAAGACGTCCACGCACCACTACAGTAGTCGTCGGGAGGACACTAAACATGGCGACTTATAATTCGTCATACAACGTTGACCACTTTACACATTGTCTCATTTTCATGAGCATGATTTTTATTCAAAGCTACGACCATTGCTTTTTTCCAACAGGATCCTTCACATGGATGGTATCTATGACCGTATTTACAACCCCGACCAAGGTTTCTTTCTGCAGTTGACAATTATATGATAGTCGTGTTTTCACATCGAAATGTGAGGAAAGTTTGTACCATAAAGACCATCATTACTTGATTTGGGCATACAGGTAGTCCAAAATGAATCAAAACTATCTGCGCAGACTGGACTATAGTATGTATAACATAACTTTATGATCCATTTTTAGATGCGTTCATACTAGAGCGTCAACATGTTGGAATGACAAGCTATAACTATTTGGATTTGTGACCGATTAATCGATTACGCGGTCCTTTTGTTTGGACTGTTTTCACACTGAGGTGTACATCATGTTCCCATAGATAAAAATGCCTTCTTTACAGAGGATCAGTTATACTTAAGAAGATGAAAGCTTTCGTCATTTTCACACGGGCGATCCTGCAAACGAGGGTTTTTCTGCCCTTTGACCTATGACGTATCTCTGCGCTTGCGCCCTGGTGCGCCGACGCCGGTGTCGGTAGGGTTGTCCAGACTGCTCAGGTTGTGCGACAGGCGGTTGTTCATACACCAGGCCGTCTTACACGCTATCCGTCCGCGTTTGTACGCAGGTCCCTCGGGTAGGCCGCCCAAACTGTGAAGGATAAAGAAAAGAAAGTGACATCACACTGCTATTTGATCTCTTTTCTACCTGTTCTTTTATGGGCTTTTTGTATCGGTTTGAGGATGAAACAGCACCAAGCACCAGCATTGAGAAGATTTCATACAGTGTCAATAGTTGTGGTGTTCATGTGAGTACTTTTCATGTATGTAGAGTAATGTTTGTCTGTAAATGGAAGAACTCTCTACCAATTTCAGCACCAGGAACACAGTACTGGAAAAATCATCACGCAATGCCAATAGTTACGCCATTCATGTCAATTCTTTTTATCTATAGAGAGTCAACTACTGTTCTTTAAGAGGTCATTCAGCACAAAGGACAGGGACCATGCCGTAAATATGAAAACTCTCTACCAAATTCAGCACCAAGGACAAGACCAGTACTGGGAAAATGCGATACAACGCAAATAGTTGCGGTATTCATGTGAACGCGTTTCATACTGAAAGTAATGTTCATCTGGTTGTCATTCAGCACGAAGGACATGGACAATGCTGTAAGCATGACAGCTCGATACCAATTTTCTCAAAGGAACGTCTAGATCTTCGCGGTGCCATTTTCTTGGACTGGGCATCTTCAATAAAACCCGATTTACACTTGTTTCGTATACTGGGACGTATGACTCTGTTTTTTTTTTTTTTGCAAAACGCAGACATACAATAGGAAACCACATGAATATCGTATCTATTGGCGCTGTATGATGCTTTTCCAGTACTGTCCCTGTCCTTGGTGCTGAACTTGGTAGAGAGTTCTTAGAAGATAGAAGTGCCACTATTACGCACCCGAAGCCAAACTCCTTAGGCTCGACGTTCTCGTTCACAATCTGCAGCACCTCCCGTGCCATGGCGCTCACCACACGGCCGACGTCATCCTCAGACAGCCGGAAGTTGGCGTCGGGCTGTTCGTCCCTTCTGTCAGACAAAGGATTATGCTAATTAGAGCACGGGATGGCGCCATTATGATAGGCATATCTGATGAAGTGGTGGAAGGATGGTGTTAAAAAAACACGTGATATAGAACATCTACTGTCTAACATATTGTGATATTGTATATTGTAATATACTGCCAACAAATGGTTGTCTGGCAGTAATGGATGATCATAAACAATACTTTTTTGCTTATTAAGATATCAGCCAATTTTTCATTGGTCAAACCGCTAATTGCCCTGCTGTCATTGGTTGAACTGCTAATTGTGATGGACAGTCAGGAGTGTAGAGCGTACTCACGCCGTGGGGGCTGCTGTACAGGTGTTCAGGAGAACTGAAAAGGTCACGCAAGCGCAGAGAAGAAACCTTCCCACCTCTGTAGTCATCATTTTGCACCTGAAAAGAAGTAATGCATCAGTACTCATTGGTCCATGGTTTCACTCGCAACTCTACGATTTTTACAATCACCAGCTGTACTATTCATTTCCCGGTGGCGACTACCTAATATTGTGTGTTGTGTACATAGACAGGAAGTGGGCTTCTCTTCAGAGATTGCGAAGAAGAGAATATCTGTTTCCCAAGCAGACTTTTGACTTAAACTAAGTTTGAGAAGACTTCACAAGTTTTATATTTTTCTATTAGAAGCTGTAACATCTCTGGAATAACAGAATCCTACTTTCGTACTTTCAAGTTGATATCTAGAACTTTAAATTGCCACGAATTGTTGTTTCTCAAAAGTAACTTTCTTCTTAAAACTTGTGAGAATTTACTAAGAATATAGTAATGTTTGAATGTTATCAAACGACAGTTTGGAGAGTTTGTAACCACGTCTTGGAGACTAGAATCTGAACAGTCTGTAAGCAGTTGTATAAGCACACACCACTGTAAGCTGTACAAAATCTATCACACTGGCTACAAAAGGTGGGCATTTTCCAAGTAAAGAATATAGAACTATTATGTAACGTCCTGTGGCATTGTACCAAAAAACGATTCATAGTGAGACGGATGGATCTCTTAATCTCAGATGACGCAATTTCCAGAGATGAGCTAGGATTGACATGGTATTTTATTGAATCAGCGGATAGGATGTTGCGAAATTCAGTGATCACCTGTTAGACATTGTTCTATGAATGTGCTGCAAGCATACTCATGCACTCATCTTATTTAGTGCTTCAAGAGGGACTGCACCATGCTAGATTCTATAATTGCTCAATTGATGTAGAGAGAAATCTGTAAAGGAAACCTTTGCCGTCACGCGAATTATCATTGTCTGTTCCTTTTGATTTTAAATTGGCGACATGGCGTTTAGAACCAGGACATACAATCACCGTAGACGTAGCACTAGATTGTCTATATACCTTTACCCGTACATAATCTAAGCAAGAAAATCAGATACAGCTACAGCCCTGGCTCCAATTGCTGAAATGCTTGGCAACCTGCCTTCGCATATTGTTACAATTGAGCCGTAAAATGATGCAGGAATCTTGGGGATTTTTCTGGGCGTCGCTAGTCGGTAATGATACCTGGCCCAGATAAGTTGGCAATAAAGGGCGTCTGTGTTCAGGGCCCCTTACGGTATTAGACTAAGTACGCATTATTCAATGACCACTCGTTAGGGCTCACTTGTGCAAATGGACGAATTACACCTACGCTCTCAGTCATCAAGTTAATCATCACATGTGCACGGCGACACGACCCTGGTAGAATTCACAATGGTTATCGAGATGCCATGTTTGAACCAATGCGTTCAAAGTACTAGGGACAGCTTAGATGCGTAATAAATTATGATTTTATAACATAGATTATGATTCTGTTGGGGATAATGTAGCTTATTGAATAGAGAGCCAATAAGGGGCAATGGATATTTTATTGCTTCATAAAAACTGAAATGTATAGTAGTATATATATTTTAGGTAGAAGGATACAAGAATTCGAAGGTCATGTTGGTACCAAATGCAGCAGATACATATATTCATGGCGGTGACTTCTTTGCACCTTAAGGTTAAAGAACTATCGATCCTCAGGACTGGTGTCGACTTGAGACCGACCTTTTCATGTGGCGGACTGAATGTCATCAATAACGGCACAAAGTCTCTGTCGTGCCTTTAAGCACTGCCTTTTCAGTTTCAAGACTTGAATTGTATCTGGTGGCCATATAGAGTCGTCGACAACCCTTTCATGGTAACACAGTATGTCTAGCTCAGCATTCGAGCGTGCGCTCGGACGTCTAATCAAGACGTTCCCGTAATGATAAGGTAGCCGCCGTGATCTGGCTGTTAGTTTGCATGGATTGGAGGTGCAATTACCTTCTCATCTCCGTAAGGTAATGAGGGGTTGGGGGCGCATACAATCAACCAGAATTACCAACATCATGCTCACTTCAACAGAGTAACTCTAATGGCAACAATTCTACTAAAGCGTCGAAATAACACAAAAGACATGGGCGCGCGCAGACAGGAAAAAAAGGGGAAATCAACATTTATCTAAAAAGAAAGTAAAACTTGTTCTCTCAGCGTTGCATTTGAAAGGACGTCAGGACAGAATGGAACGAGGTCGTCAATGTTTATGACGTTCGGCACGAGAAGGTATCTGTGAGCCGTCTAATTGATATGGACTCTTCAATCAACCGGATAATCCCCAACAACCATGAAAGAAACGATCCCGTTCTCTCCAGGACCAACTCGGCTGGTCTGGTCCATTTCTAGAGACGCCTGAACCTACTAGGACGAAAATCTTTTTCAAGCAATATCTACTTGGAATTACAGGGAATTACACAAGACTAGTCCTTCCCAGATCCTGTACATGGAACCAGGTCTAAAGTACTGTAACATAATACAGAGAGTGACAAGATAATGGGTCAGTATCGTCACCTCTCAAATTTGCCTGGCGCCAATTTAGTCGGTGCTGAAAAGTGAACAATTAGAGATGGTTGAGCTGTGGAAGCAAGCCCGCCAAGGAACTCTCCAGCTACTAGTTGTATTTTAGGTGATGAAGGACCATTTTGGTCGACCATGTCCACCTTCTGGAGAAAACTTGAGTATCAAATAAATCATTATAACGTCTTATTATGTTCACGTCGTCATTTCAGATACAATAAAGAACGTCATCCCCAATCATTGTGTCCTCTCCATATATGACAGTCTATAAGGAGTTTAACGCATGTTTTATCCTTTTTACAGGCACATAAAGTTTGACTTTTATCAAAATTGCATGACCGACCACGTACGACATTGTGCGTTGTTTGTCGCAATCTTCAGTAATAAACGCCGATTTACACGTACCGAGGGAACTGACTCTCATAACTGCGTCACAAAAATTTAATAACAGCGATGGCCGTGAGTTAATTTTTACTGGGCAAATTGTCATGGGTCAATCCCAAGACTTGGAAAGTTTTCAAGGAACTCGTGGAATCCAGTACTGACCGGATATCTGGTATAACTGATATAATTACAAACCCCTCTCCGCTCAAGCGGAACAAGGAAGGCTATAATAAATCAAATCAAAAGTGCCTATAGGATTTTTATATGCCCCTGTGTGACAATGGTCCTGGAGCAACAATTCGTCAGCGGCTGTGTCAGCAAATTTGAGAAAATTACGTTCTATATTCTCAACTTTAAAACACGATCTGTGGCTTCTTAATCCAATTATACTTCTCTAGACGTCTGTACTGACAAAGAACAATGTTGCTGTTGTCTCCTGTGAGCTAGCACCCATCAAGTGATTAACTACCTCCTTCTCCCGGCGTGTATCGCCTTGTCTGCCGCGGTCTCCCGGAAGAACGGACACTCTGGCGAGGAAAGTGCTTGGTAATGAGCTATTGGAGATGGACTTCCGCCACTTTTGGTTCACTAATCATTTTGGCACCGTTTCAATAATGATTAATTGCACCCTGCCCGAAGTAATATTCGTCGAATAGCCTCAATTGTACCTGAGCCAAAAGGTGCAATGTCGTTTGAATCGATTGGCGGATCCAGTAGATTCAGAACACCGTTCTTTCAGGCGCTTTTGTAGTCGGTTTGGGTAGAACTACTGAGAAGTGGTGGAACATCAGGTTAACCGTTCCAAGATTTTGAGAGAAGAACTTTATGTTCCTTTGCTAAATGTTACCTGCTACTGAATGCACCGCCATGCATTGCAACAGTTCGGAACATCAAAAGACCTCTTTTCAATGGACAGCGTAGCCTATGCATACCGCTAACACCTCTGACTTAATGCAACTCAAACAGTGTTGACAAAGATAGCACAATCTATCGTAACGCCTAATCCATTGGCACAAGCCTTGCTTTAATGTTTATCGCAACACCTCGGATGGCCATATGCTTTAATGTATGTTTTTATCGAGTAACTTTGAAGTCTGTGCGCATGGCTTTTATTTTACCATGCCTCATATTTGCAGACCAATGTGCTTTGATTAAACTTTGTGAATAACGCGCTGTAATCATACTAGTACATGTATGAAACATTAATGCCGTACAAAACTATGACAGTGGTATATAGGCTGGAGACCTAATAGAGTTATCGATTTGATTTTCATCAATCAATAAATGTTTTCTCGTTTTCTTCTTCTAAGTCATTTCACATCTTTGATACGCTGTCTTCACATGGCGTTTTGGCCGTTAATGAAAGTGCAAATTTGGGAAGGAATAGATATCTTTCCAGGATCGGCCATGTTTCATTCTCCAATAATATTAAATTCGTTTTAGCCCTCATCGCCGCGACAACTCAGGAGTCTGAGTTGAGCGTGACTCTCCGAAATTATTTTATATCACTTGATGATATTTGAAATGGAGTTGTACGTCATTACACAATTAATTCTTCGAAATTTGTTCCCTTCTTGCAGAATCAATTCTACGCACTCAATTCTCTCAAAGTTAGTAACCATCTTTGACGGACTTGAAGAAAATCTTTATCTCTGTCCAGGCGTTACCTAAGCCCCAATCAGCAGTTCGCGTTCCTTTCAATTTAGATCTTAGAACAGCGGAGGAAATGGTAGAGAGAATGTAAGGATAACGACTGTTGCAGGATGGTGCTCTCTGGACCGTGAACTATCGGCGAGAACAATTGGTCAATCAAGACCAGACCACCTGGTGTCGTCCATAACCATATTATCTCACTCCTTACACCTGATGTTCCTGAGGTAGTCTGATGGACCGAGGTTCTGAGTTTGTAATGGGAGACATTAGGGCGGTTTTGTGGCATGTAATTTGTGGCGGGAAATCGTCAATCAATCTTAAAATGTCCTTCGAGAATCTAGAGATACAGTCAATGGTCACGGGTCCATGGCCAAAGTCATAAACTGTATGATGCACTCAAAAAGAAAGCTATTCAATCTACAGGTAGAAAGAACTCATCACTCAAAACACAATAAGGACGGTCGCGTCTAAATCAGGAACTAGTTCCACCAAGCGCGACTCTGATGCAAGCTGGAACATAACCGGGAAATCTTAAGGTATCTCGAGTTCCAGAGAAACTCCGTCCTGATGTTAAATCTGCAGGAGAGATAGACACCCTACATATTACATGGTTACCATGCGCTGGGCTGCCTCGTCCTCTCGGCATGAAATTATCTGTTTATCTGTGTGACCACAGGATCACACGATGTTCTACTGCTCTTCTGACTTTAAATTACATGTTCTAACAAGGTCGTGGCGTGAAGTATTTCAAAAGCATAGACCTCAACCAATGCATACAATGTAGGTATAACACTGAACATCACTCATCACTGCACTTAGATCTGACAGCTCTAGTGAATTCAAGGTTTTCTGAGCACATATTGTGTTGTACGGATGTAAGGCATCAGAGAAAACAGTTGATGGGTACTGTACGGTGTGTGATACCGGGTGTTTCAATTGGAACAGGCCTGGGATTAAGTTTCCATTACCACCAAACTCTCAGGGAATCATGGCAACAGGGAGCACCCTTGCGAACCTGCCGCATTTCAATCATCAAAGACTACCTGAATCTCACTTCACACATTTCAAAGGGAATATTGCATGATTGCTGAACACCACTGTAATCGAGGAATACGTAAATGTTACGTAAGAATTTTGAGATGAGACACAGAATTTAGGTAGCCAGGCGTCTGTATTATTTCACACTTCCGACATCGAATTACCGCTTCACATTCGGCGTAGGTAGTCGTACAATTAGGATGTATAAGCATGCCAAGACAGAAGAAGTTGCCGACAAGGATCAAAAACAGAATTTTCGGTAACAAGGCAGCTGAATTTTGTACGACACTTGTACGACGACTGTCCCAACAATGTCCTCAGTTTGCGAGTGTGACCAGGGCATCAGCCTTATGCGTCCGGACATCTGAGACATATGTTAAGGTTATTTCATTACAGATGTTAGATTTGAACGCATCATATTGTTGATTAATTTTCAGACTCTAAATCATTTCGCTGAAGATAAAAGAAAAACGAAATACCTGGACGTTAACTTTTACTGCTAAGGAAGGAAAGATCCACCACGTACCTCCTGCCCTGTTGGGTTGGTGTCGGGAGACTGGAATCCGCTGGTTCACACAAGCCGGGGTGTCAGGGCGCCGACTGATCAATGCACCAGCAACTTTTCCCACTTATATTGTGTGCGTGACCACGTGACCTCGGGCTCATAACCTATGTGCTTGCGCAAGACAAAAAAACTGTATACACCCACTAAGAGCGGAAATGTCTGTCGATTAAGGAGGATAGATGCATTTACGTTGCAAGCCTAATCCTGGAAAAATCCACAAAGCTTCCGAGAAGGCCGGCTGATTTGTTTGGGAAGGGCAAAGGCTGCTGCCATTAGGGTGTTCATCAATCTCGCGCGGGGACCCGGTAGCTACTGTCCCGCCTGTTTTAATTTCTCACCCGGCAAATTAAATCAGGAGGCTGTAATTTCCCAGAGCGGTCATTACGCTTCCCCTGGCGGTGCGCCGCTCGGCTCGGCGGACAGGTACAGGGAGAAGGCGGGAGAGGGAGGAGACAGACAGCCGCATTCATTAAACCTGTCTGATTGACATAAATCTTCATTTCCGCTCGTTCATGGTTATACTGAAGGACGATAGAGCTGTTCATGTCGTTAAACACACACATTTCAGGCAATTTTCAATTCATACATGGAATCATCGTTTCCTCAGTAAACGATATTACTGTTAATATAATTTCCGGGTATAGCACAGGTTGTCGTTAGAAAATGTAATTGCCACACTGGAGTTGTTGAGTCAGACAATGGGCAAGTAAAACCATTTAGTCTTGATTTCTACGTATGCTCAAAGGCAGCGGTGGACGAAAAATCTTACCTGGTACACACCGTGTATACCTGCATGGACATGGCCATGGTAAACTGGACCACACACGCTATCGTACGAACTTTCGGGAATGAATATGCTGCACACTCCTGTATGTCTCAGCAAAACTTCAGAGAATTCTCCGTGTACCTAAGACGCGCTTTGGACTAAAATGGGGGTGATACAGAGCTACCCGTGAAATCGCATGTATCTCCAGTTTGGCGGGACCAATCAACTTCAAATTTGGAAATAACTTAGATGAAATACCACTGATTCTAAAAAACTACTTCTTCCTTCGAAAATCTGCATAATTGTTCCATAAATAATAATAATATTAGATCATTGTGACTATATAAAATCGGCCTAGACCAAACCCTTCCGCTCAGAATTGTAATACAAAACTTTCCGAGAATGTGGAGAGATATGCACTTTATAGGAATCGGTTTCCAGAAAAGAAGAATATAGCTTAGATTTGAAAATATTTAGAAATATAGTCCATTTTGGTAGAAATCTAGGGGGTAGGTATGACTTTATCTACCAATAGCTAGATATAAGGGGATAAAGTAGTTTTTCTGAAAACCGATTCATAGAAACCGACTTCTTACGCATTGTTTGCACCCGATTTCAACTTTGTAACCCAATGGGAAGAGTTTGGTCTCGGGCTTTAAAGTTTAAAAGTCTAAATTCTGGTTGATTTCCTTCCTTGACCTGTCAATCTCTATCAAGCCTCATGACTGTGAATGAAATTAATTGTTTTCGCACCTCCACTCAAGGCAATTACAGGCAATTATCTTTAATTATGCATAGCGGGCAGACGGCAGCATGTATCCATTCAAATTCCACTTTACCACAAAAGTCTTTGTTTTTAAACATTTGTTTCTTACTCCTCGAATTGAAAGTTCTGGGTTTGAAATGTAGTTTTATACATAGCAGCTATGAACCTGAACAACAGTTCTGTCTGTTGGGCAGAAGATAGCTAGATGTGTTATAATTTATCTGAAGAAAATTTCTGATAGACTTTTAACCCTGGCCAAGGACCCTGGCCCATTGAGATGAAAAATCGTTTGATGTGTATTGACTTGTCTGGCTCCAAACATGCACCTATGACCATATCCAGTGAGTGTATTTCCCTAAACTTCCTTGCTTATACCATTATACAGTTCATGTAGTTTCTTGTCATCCCTCCGTTTTCAGAATGTTCATTTTGAGCACATGTACGTGCACGTGCTTTAACTTTTAATCTTTTTGACGTGAAATGTTACATTGGTAGCTTTGATTTGCTACATAGTGGTAGTACTAGTTTTTCTTTAATAATAATAGGGGCCACTAAAGAACATTTAGCACATAAAATGGTCATTTTGAATCCTGTTTGTAAACTATGGCCATCGTAGTCTCTCACAGTAGCCTTTACCAGTCTTTGGGAGGTGGCTGGAAATATCAGAAATTGGCCAAATAGAGAGATAATATGCCAAGGGAGTTGGTCTGCTAGAAAGTACATTTTGCCGCGCCCGGGTGCGTATTATCGACTTACTTTCCTGCTACCTTCCGAAGCCTGGTAGAGGCTAAATATATATAATGCACAGGCCTTGTCAGCCCCAGTCAGTTGGACATTGAGCGACGCACGCTGGCTAAATAACCAAGGACTATGAGATTATAACCTCCTTGCTACATGTATATCTTTGGACCTATATAGCTTGCTATGGGTCTTCGTTCACACGAGTAGGTTATAATTCTACCTCTATGGTTCACACAATGCGTTTAACACTAGTACAAATTTACCTCCTTGATTAGTCCGTAATATAATCTCCTGGAATTCGGAATACACTATGTATTGGTACTAAAATGGAGAACAAAGATTGTCTGAACATGGCTGAAATCAAGGAGGTTATAACCTCGCACAGTTAAAGTCGGGGCTCCATCGCCAATTTTGTAAGACCCTGTTATATAGACTTGAGTTAGATCTGGTGGATACATGCTGTATTTAAGAAAATGTTTTCATTTTTACTTTCTTTTCAAGCATGTTTCAAGCTATGAAGTCTTCTTTCATAGAACACTGAAAATACAAAGAGGTTGTGAAGTTAGCTCAATACAAATGCAAAATAGCAGGAGGGGCAGTGGGTGGTGAAGCTACAGCAATTATCACCATACCTACTGCATATTTACGATTTTCTACTCGCACCTTGCTCATTTCAATGTCATTATAATATTAAAATGAGATCTTTGCTGGGAGAAAGAAAGCGCGTCTTAGGTACACTGAGTTATAATTGAGTATTCCCTTACAAAGCAAGCGATGCAAAACTTGGAGCAGCGGCAGGATTGCCACAGATTCAAAATGTCTCTACCCTGTTTTGGAAATCTAAGAATACATTACATATAACACTGGATTGTTTTTGAAAATGCTTCCAGTGTATTTTCAACATTTTGGAGCAACGATATTTTTTTTTTAAAATTCCGATTGCCAGTCGCTACGGATTCTACACAAGGTTGACTGTTGCGTCGATGACAGGGTCCATCGTCAGAGGACACATGAGATGAGTGTTTGATGGAATGTTTCATGTTGCTATAGTCACACGATGACGTATGTGTTCAGATTATAGCATTTGAACTTGGCCCTGACGTGTGACGGTGTAATGAGGTGTGTTGTCAAATCCAGCTGAGGAATTGCACGAACAACTGGCAGGGAAATTACGTGTGATATTTGAAAGGTCAAGGCTTCTTGATAAACCTATGAAATGATCAGCCTAGGAATGCATTGTCTTCCCAGGTCCGTGCATGCGTTGACTGTGTCAGAGGATGGCTTAAAGTCCATACTTACTTATGAGTTATGATCCTTGTCCAATGCCTTGGTTCTGTTGTATTTCTTGCATTTCCATGTGTTACTTACAGTTATACTGTGACCGTTCAACCTGTCACAAGTTACAATTGCCGGGAGTTTTGACCTGTATGATCAGACTGATGCAACGCAAGGGAGGGTTTGAGCAAGTGGTTGCTGTTTTCTATTGGCTTTTGATGTATGCATGGAGGCTCGAGAACAATGGGCTCCCATGAGATGACGAAGTATATACAAATTGAAACGAGACACCCATGATTACTCCTGCTAGTCTGATATTGCTGCTACTACTGAATCCCAAGACAGCAACATGAAAAAGAAACCCAGACCTGGATATGAGATTTCTCTATGTAGTATGAGGCCATCTATCTAGTCTTATTCTCATGGAACCAATCGTGGTTGTATGTAACTGTAGCAGAAGTACCTGCCATCTTTTCTACCCTCAATGGTGGTACATTTTCCAACATTTGTTCATCACTTTTTTCAGAAACTTCTTGGGAGTTAGTATACACATTGAAAAAGTATTCTAATGACCTTTATTCCCATTATTCCCATCAACATTTCTGCCCAGTAAAATGTCAGCATATTGATTGCCCATAAGTACATTTTGATCACACGTCAATCAAATACATTTTAGCAATAAATGTATATGCGTTTCATGTAATTGCTATTTTCCACTCATCTTTACATTATATTTCGCATCTCTTCGTATTTGCCAAAATACCTGTCATTGGGGATCGCCATAATTGATGACTGAGGCGTTTAGCCAACTGTGGGGTCACATCAGTCGGAGCAAAGAGTCATTTGTTTGCTCTTTGATCGACTAATCGAAGAGTAAGCACGCATTAAGCTATTCAGCGTGAAATGATGTATACCGAGCATGCCATTTATAGGGCCAGGCGTTTTATACAGACTTTCTAGTCTGGGCACCAGTTACGCAACAACAACCGGCGGACCAAGCAGACAGAAGGAATTGTTAGCACTGGGGCTGACTATTACTCTGTTTGCAGTACAAGAAGTACAAGAAAACTACTTATGGTAATAGAATAACGCTATGCATGTAAACGGATACTAAAACAACAACGATTGCACAGGGTGCAATGTATGTCATCTGCTGGTATATCAGTGACAAAAACATACTATGAGAATAATTTACCTTATAAAATAAAAGACTATGTAGTATGAGATGAGAATGTGCTTTTACAACTACAGTAGATCATGAAATTTACTTTATATAGCACGATACAGAATGCAGCAGACCAATGTGTGTGATATAATGAGATTAAGCATATATTTGATGAGAAAGTAACACAAAGGTTCTCTCTTCTCTCAGTGGAGTACGTATTTCATAGCTAAATCGATGCCAACGCGATTGACCCCAACCACCGTGTAATTTACAAGGCAATGATAAACCTTAAGGGTCAAAGACCGAGT